TATTTATAGGGTATGTGGAAGTTGGTATAAAGTCACATATTTAGTTCATGTAAAGGAGAACCTTTTTAAAAATTCGGTGCATACAGTACCTATAGTCTGTGAGATATGCCTAATAGGGGAAAATAACGCAGGTAACAAATCGATATTTATCGATATTTATCGAGATTGATAAGGTACAAACTATCGAAAAAAAAGTGTATATAATTTGGTATAATCTCCTCAAGTCTGTGGCCCTTTTCATTTTTGATTTAAGCTCGATTAAAATCGATATTTATCGATACATTCCACACTGAAATCTCTCGCTCGTACTGTATGTATATGAACATTTCGCCTCTGCCAATAAATCTGATTAAGTTAATATACTTTGTAGCTGGCTCCTGGTAGATGTCACCTACCGCCTTTCACACACAATATACCCTCTGTTTGGGACACGTTCACCGGCTACAGGGTATAATAAATATTTAAAAGCAAGAAGAAAAAAAACGCGCTAATGGGGTTGCTTATGGGGTTGACTGTTAACGAATCCCCTGGCACAAAGCCAGCTAAGCTAAATATTCAATGACAGAGTCGGAGTCGGAGTCACCGGAGTCAAGCACTCGCCAGTTGTTAGCTAACAAGTGTTTATAGTTTCCGCTCTGCAGATAACAGCGGGCAGCACATAAACTGACGCAGAACCAGAACTACAACGAAATCCAGGCAAGCAGTTGGCAAAAGAAGCCGTCAAAATGCCAACTGGCCTGGCCAAATGAGCCACGCACAAAAGCCAAGTCAAGGGGAAAGGTGGCAACCAGAGAGACAGTCAGCGACCGAGTGATACAGAGAGAAAGAGAGAGAGAGAGCAAAAGAGAGCAAGAGAGAGAGAGAGAGGGAGCAAGCTAGACAATAAACGCTAATAGGCAGTTGGTAATAAAATGCGTTGAGCCCAAATGAAAACTAAGATGAGCTCAGATGAGCCAAGCATCACGCTAATGAAGCCATGAAGAAGCCAACGCTGTACAGTGGCACAAAGTCTATTGAAAAAGGCAACAAAATTACTTCAATATGCGCAGAGCAATAGGCGAATAAATTTGGCTCAAAGTTAGCATGGAGAACAGGAGTAAACCTAAAATATATAAAACTCTAAATAATGTGAACATATGAACAACAAATGAAGCGAGCTAAATGTGACCATGGCGAACATGGAAGTACCTTTAGACAGACCAAAAAAGACAGACCTTCAATAAAAAGTTTGTTGCGACAAGAGGAAGATAACAAAGAAAGCATTGACAGGCCAAAGATAGATAAATAGGATCATGGAGGATATAGACAAATATATAGAAAACAGTGTGACAATGCATTAATCAATACTCCAGTTAAAGAATCAATCGAAATAATAGCTGTTAAATAAAGTAGCATCAATGTGACCATGGAGGACATATAAGTGGGTCAAGTATACATTCACGATAATAAAAGGCTACAGATATTCAGGAATTGTCAAACGAAATTTTCTCAATGTTACCAGGGAGGACGTGGAGGGAAATCTCTACAATAAACACTTTCACAGCCGAAAATGAGAAATATTTGACCAAGAATAACGCTAACAAACATAACAAAGATAACGTGAGAAGTGAGAAATGTGACCATGGAGGAAGGTAAATAAAGCGCAAATAAAATATTTAAATCAATACAATAAACAGCTTTGGCATGGCTTGAGATAAGTGCAAAGCTTTTCCGCAAAGAAGAAGTCAAATAAATATATTGAAAATTCATGCAATTCAAATGGGAATCGCAACACTGTGCGCAGACAGCATTCAAATGGACCAGAGACCAAATTTCACCGGCACAGTCGCCAGCGAATTGGCCAAGCGTACGTACGGTTATTCAACCATGATCGGGCGTCAGTTTCCACTGTGGCAGCTGCTGCTGCTGCTGCTGCTGCCAGTTGCCTTGGCCCTGAAAGCAACAACAACAACAAGAAAGACACAACAACAGGCCAATGTGGAGCAGCTGCGTCAACTGGGACTGGGCAATGTGATCAGCCTGCCCATCTACAGCGATCGTAAGTGATGTGCACCCGAATCTTAGTGCCTGCCCAATTCAAAAAAAAATTCCTCAACAGTGCCCCGCGGCAATTATGACTTCATTGTGGTCGGCGCCGGCGCCGCTGGCTGCACGCTGGCCGCACGCCTCTCCGAGAATCCCAATTGGCAGGTCTATCTGATTGAGGCGGGCGGCGTCGAGAACATAATGCACTTGGTGCCGCTGCTGGCGCCCGCACTGCAGCTGACCGCCTCAAATTGGAATTACCAATCGCAGCCGCAGCCTGGCGCCTGTCGCGGCATGCCCGGCAACCGTTGCGCCCTGCCCAGGGGCAAGGTGCTGGGCGGCACCAGTTCCATCAATTTCATGATCTACAATCGCGGCAATCGGCGCGACTTTGATGCCTGGGCCGAGCGGGGCAACCGCGGCTGGAGCTATCACCAGGTGCTGCCCTACTTCCTGCGCAGCGAGTCCGCCCAGCTGCTGGGCTTGGAGCAGTCGCCGTATCACAACCACAGCGGTCCGTTGAGCGTGGAGGATGTGCGCTATCGCAGCAGCTTGGCGCATGCCTATGTCCGTGCCGCCCAGCAGGCGGGTCATCCGCGCACCGATTACAATGGGGAGTCGCAGCTGGGCGTGTCCTATGTGCAGGCCAACACGCTGAAGGGTCGCCGGCACAGCGCCTTTCGCGCCTACATTGAGCCCGTCCGAGCGCGCCGCAACAATCTGCACATTCTGACCATGGCGCGGGTCACTCGCGTGCTCATTGATGTCGCCACCAAATCCGCCTACGGCGTGGAGCTGCTGCACGGAGGTCGTCGCTACCAGGTGCGCGCACACAAGGAGGTCATCCTGTCGGCGGGCGCCTTCAACTCGCCGCAGCTGCTGATGCTCTCAGGCATCGGACCGGCAGATAATTTGCGTGCCGTCGGTTTGCCAGTGGTCCAGGCCCTGCCGGTGGGTAAGCTCCTCTACGATCACATGTGCCACTTCGGGCCCACCTTTGTGACGAACACCACGGGCCAGACGCTGTTCAGTTCGCGCTTGTCGGTGCCCATGCTGAAGGACTTTACGCTGGGTCGCGCGGACACGCAGTTGTCCAGCATCGGGGGCGTGGAGACGCTCACCTTCATCAAAGTGCCCACGGCGCAAACTGCCGACAATCAACCCGACATTGAGCTTATTCAGGTCGACGGCAGCCTGGCCAGCGATGAGGGCACGGCGCTCACAAAGGGCGCCAACTTCAAGGGTGAGATCTATGAGAAAATGTATCGCCATCTGGCCAGGCATCGGCAGGATCACTTCACGTTTCTCGTCATGCAATTCAAGCCGCAGTCTGTGGGCCGGCTCTGGCTGCATAATCGCAACCCGCTCGAATGGCCACGCATTGATCCCAAGTACTTTTCCGCCGAACAGGATGTGGAGCAGCTGCTCGACGGCATCAAGGAGGCCATACGCATCACCCAGATGCCAGCACTGCAGGCTGTCGGGGCTCGTCTTCTCGATCGCCCTGTGCCTGGGTGTGAGGATAAGCCCTTTGGGTCGGATGATTACTGGCGCTGCTCGATACGCACCTTGTCCTACACGCTGCACCACCAGGTGGCCACCTGCCGCATGGGTCCGGCGAGTGATGCCACCGCCGTGGTCAGCCCCGAGCTCAAGGTGCACGGCATGCGCAAGCTGCGCGTCGTCGACACCAGTGTCATCCCCCTGCCGCCCACCGCCCACACGAATGCGGCAGCCTTTATGATCGGCGAGAAGGCAGCCGACCTGATAAGGGCCGATTGGCTCTGAGTCCCAAGTCGACCAAGTCGACCGAGCCGACCTAGAGAGCTGAATAACTGGATGAGTTGGCTGCGTCAAATGTAAATGGGTCAATAAAATGCGAGTTGAAAGCTGGCGAGAATCGCCATGGAGAACGCTAATGAGAAGTCCAACGGGTTTTCAGTGCGACCAAAGGTGTACAAACTTGTTAGACAGTCGCGAATTTTGAGCTTCGTGGCGTGTTTTTTAGAAGTTAAATGAACCCGCGACCGTTCAAATTATGAAGATATTTCAATTACCAGCACTCGAAAGCAAGCTAATTAAGCATACTCTGTACAAGGCCTCCGCGCGGAGACAGTCTTAGCTAAGTAAGTAAGTAAGCAGTTAATCGCAGTCAGTAGGAACAGAGTGCATAATATTTAATATATCTCGCAAAAATGCACAATACAACTATAAGGGAGAAAGTCCAAATAAAGTCTCTATTGACAAAACTTGTTTGATTTTTGAATAGATTTCTTTCTTCCGGCCGTTCTTCCTATCTTTTCTTCTTTATGTATATTTTTCACTACGGTTTCCTCTATAGAGTATCTCTCTTAAATGCTTCTACTGCGATTCTTTGACATATTCCTTAAATCTTTCTTCTTTAATATTTCCATTACGATCCTACTGCATATTCCTTTAAACATGAATCCTTATGTCTCTTTATGGATGTCTGGCTGCCTGCATCCCCTTTCTTGTACATCCCATAGGATGTACATTAGGGGTACCTTTCTTTCTTTCCATTTACACATTTATGCAGACATTTTTGTTGTTTAAATATCTTTCTACCTTTTTCAACACCCTTTTTTTGAAGGAAACACTCGAGATCTTTAGTTTACATTCTACGTTTGGGCTTGATTTACCAAACTCTATAAAATAAATGAATCCCCTGTGAATATATGCTCTCTATACTTCCATTGCCTACTTTAACGTTTCCTTAAATATGTTTCTGTAGGCAGCTACCCTGAATCCTAAAGGAATTCGTCGAGTCACTTCTCCTTACTCTCGCATATCAATTATTCGCACAGGGTATTTCGGCATTTGTGCATTTTTAGCTGCATTCGAATTAAATATATAAAATAAATATAAAACGTGTCGCAATTCAACTCTGAAGGAGCGCCGAGCTGAGAGCTGAACAGATTTAAAAGCCCTAATCCCGTGTCATTGGCTTCAGTGAAATGTTTCTTTTGTCGCTGCTAATAACGCTCGTTGTGGCTAATCGAGCGGATCCCCGACTCCTGGAGCAGCTGCAGCAGCTGGGCCTGGTCAATCTGCTGGAGCAGTCGGTGCGTCCCAATGGTAAGTTCAGGCCGAACCAGCTGTTGCTTTGATCAATGTGTCAACTGCTTGCAGTGCCTCAGAATTTGGCCAGCTATGACTTTATTGTGGTCGGTGCCGGTGCCGCTGGCTGCACGCTGGCCGCGCGTCTCTCCGAGAATCCGGACTGGCGGGTGGCGCTTATCGAGGCGGGCGGCGTGGAGAACATTGTACACCTGACGCCTCTCCTGGCCGGGCATCTGCAGCTAACCGCCTCCAATTGGAATTATCGTTCGGTGCCGCAGCCTCGCGCCTGTCGCGGCATGTACAACCAGGAGTGCGCACTGCCCAGGGGCAAGGTTCTGGGCGGCACCAGCTCCATAAACTCTATGATCTACAATCGCGGCAATCGGCGCGACTTTGATGCCTGGGCCGAGCGGGGCAACCGCGGCTGGAGCTATCACCAGGTGCTGCCCTACTTCCTGCGCAGCGAGTCCGCCCAGCTGCTGGGCTTGGAGCAGTCGCCGTATCACAACCACAGCGGTCCGTTGAGCGTGGAAGATGTGCGCTATCGCAGCAGCTTGGCGCACGCCTTTGTAGCTGCCTCCGTGGAGGCGGGTCATCCGCGCACCGACTACAATGGAGAGTCGCAGCTGGGCGTGTCCTATGTGCAGGCGAATACCAACAATGGGCGTCGGCACAGCGCCTACTCCGCCTACATCCAGCCCGTGCGCGATTTGCGGCCCAATCTGCACATCTTTCCCTTTACGCGCGTGACACGCGTCCTTCTCGACGTGGCCACCAAGTCGGCGCAGGGCATTGAGCTGGTTTACAAGCAGCAAAAATACACGTTTAAGGCCCACAAGGAGGTCATCCTGTCGGCGGGCGCCTTCAACTCGCCGCAGCTGCTGATGCTCTCAGGCATCGGACCGGCAGATAATTTGCGTGCCGTCGGTTTGCCAGTGGTCCAGGCCCTGCCGGTGGGTAAGCTCCTCTACGATCACATGTGCCACTTCGGACCCACCTTTGTGACGAACACCACGGGCCAGACGTTGTTCGCCACGCGCATCAACATACCGGACATCCTGTCCTTCTACCTGGCCGGCAATCCGGCAACGCCTCTGAGCTCCATTGGCGTGGAGGCTTTGGCATTTCTTAAATCGCCGCGCTCGCCGCTGTCCAGAGACTGGCCGGATCTGGAGCTAATAATGTTGGCGGGTAGCCTGGCCAGTGATGAGGGCACGGCCATCAAGCGGGGCGCCAACTTCAAGGATGAGATCTATGACACACTCTACAAGCCACTGCAGCTGGCGCAACAGGATCATTTCACGCTGCTCGTGATGCAGTTTCATCCCAAGTCCGTGGGCCGGCTCTGGCTGCATAATCGCGATCCATTTGGCTGGCCCAAAATCGATCCGAAATATTTTCTCAACGAGGAGGATGTGGAGTATCTGCTCGACGGCATCAAGGAGGCCATACGCATCACCCAGATGCCAGCACTGCAGGCTGTCGGGGCTCGGCTGCTGGATCGCCCTGTGCCTGGGTGTGTGGATAAGCCCTTTGGGTCGGATGATTACTGGCGCTGCTCGATACGCACCTTGTCCTACACGCTGCACCACCAGGTGGCCACCTGCCGCATGGGTCCGGCGAGTGATGCCACCGCCGTGGTCAGCCCCGAGCTCAAGGTGCACGGCATGCGCAAGCTGCGCGTCGTCGACACCAGTGTCATCCCCCTGCCGCCCACCGCCCACACGAATGCGGCGGCCTTTATGATCGGCGAGAAGGCGGCCGACCTGATAAGGGCCGATTGGCACTGAGCTCGAGGAAAGGGTAAGGCCAGACGTGCTCCGAGCTGGTTGTTTGCTTCGGCCAAGTTAATTAAATGAAATCGCCTAACGAGAGACGGACGAGAGACGGACGAGAGCTGCTCCCGAAGCCCCTTTCGCCCGTTCTTTAGCTGGCTTAAGCTGGGGGTTGACCGGCCGGCCGCAGAGTGCATTCACCCAGTCCCAAGTGTCGAGGGTTGAAACACTTTCGACTAGGCACAGCCGCACAAAATATCCAACGGGGTGGTTTCGACGCTGTCGCCAGTCATCAAATAGTCAAAACATGAAACTGAAAACTTGCCAGCGGAAGCTGTTGGCTGTACCCAAAGCAAACGTTGCATGGGGTTGTTGGGGAGGGGGGCAGTTCAAAGGGGGGTTGCGAATTGTTTAGCCAGCGGAAGAGTGGGGCGCGGCTGGCAACCAGATGAGCTGCCTCGAAGCCAAGGGGTGTCCTTACAAGTGGTTATCAGTACGCAAAGGCTGAGCCGGTGCCCGTTGCCTTCTTTTTGTCGTGTTTGTTGTTCTTGTTGTTGTTGTTGTTGTTGCATACGAAAATTTCAATATGCATCAGCAGGGGGCATTTCTTTCGCAACGCACGCGTAACAAGAGAAGCGAAACAACAACCGACAATACCCTAGTTTTTCGACCCAATAAAGCATATTCATATTCTAGATCAGCATCAACAGCTGAGCTATGTCCGTCCGTCCGTCCGTCCGTCCGTCCGTCCGACTGTCGATCTGTCTGTTTCTATGCGAACTAGTCTCTCAGTTTTAAAGCTTTGCACTATATCATGTAGCTGTCATAGAAACGATAGATCGAAAAGTAGGTTCTTATATGTAAAACTGTTTTGTTTCTCAAGATATCTTGTCTAACCTAGGGAATTACTATTTAACATATGCTGCTTATATTGGCTAAATCTTATCAGAATCGCACTTCTTTATGATATTGCTCTACATTCTACAATCAGTCTTACGAGCTTCATTCTTCTCACATATCTGCAATTGTTTACAGAGTATTCAATGTTCGGCGTGCCGTTGATATCCCCACTTTCCCGTTTATTTTTTTTGCTTTTTTTTTGGTTTGTTTCAAAGATTTTATCGGATTTTTGTTGTGCTCTAGAGTTATAGATCTGAGTTAAGCAGGAATTTCGCGAAGAATATTTGATGCTCGAAAGATTAGTGTATTTAGTTCTAGTCTGACCTTCATATATAGATATGTTTAGGTTAAGTTAACACGGCTTTTAGGCTGAAAGGACCTGAAAGACGAATCAATTTAAGTCCTTATTTAATCAAGATTCTGGAAGTTTGAGTAAAAATGTTTTTGTTTAGTTTTTGCGAGGAGTTGGATAAAAAACATAAGAAATATATTTGCTTATTATTAATTTATGAAAATATAAATTAATAAAAAGGAAGACCTTGTTATTTGCTTTTGAGAGAATATCTTTGTGACGCATATTGGAATAATATTTTTGATGGGCATTCTGTGCACATACTCGAAAGTATCTATATGGATTATGGATTTCCAGATAGCAGCCTC